TATGATTTGGTGTATCTCCAAATGGCAGAAGACCAACCTAATAAGTCAGCAGTGACGGGAGGCAAGAGACAAGAACAAGACACAGCTATGACAACAACAATGACAACAACCTCGTACCACCATCTTCTGGCAGAGAGAGAGAACAGTGAGCTCGCCGAGGCTGAAGGGGGTCAGGATCAAAGCCAGCGCCAACGGATTGATGTGCGTGTCGACTGTTTTACAAAAATGTCAGTGAATGCACGAGAAAAAAAAACTGCCTCAACAGCCACGTCTCCCCGGTTTGACTTCTATCGCATCTATTCTATTTACTTTCTGCAAAGCAAAGAGACGTCAGTAAACGGGGTGGGAGCAGCTCCACATCAGCCTGGGCCACTTCCAAATGTATTCCTATAAAACCTCGCCAGCAGAACAGTTTGGTGGCTCACTTGGTAGAAGTTGTGTCCCAGGCTTTGCAAGAATTAAAGATATTTTACCAGAAGTGCTGCGAGTTTATTTCTCGAATTGGAAATGTGAACTTCCACAACACACTACAGGGTTTATTGATATCATCGCTGCTTGAGGATATTCTCCTTGAATCAATGAAAACTGACAAGCACACACACACACACACACACACACACACACACACACACGCACACACGCACACACACACACAGAGGAGGCAGTAGTGATGTCACCCTTTAGAAGCACAAAAACACAAAACTCTTCAAGTCCAGAGCAGATAAAAGAAGCACGAAGAAACCAAGGTTGCAGCTTCTCCAAAAATGTAGAAGATCAGCTGTGTTTAAAGCATCCTGGGTGGTCTGATCACAAGTGTGCAGCTCTAAACATGGATGGGAATGCAGCACATTGAAGGCACATTAAGATCCAATCAGGCGAACCACATGCAGGGACGGTCCGGGACGCATGTGTCCTCACATGGAAAACCGTGTGAAAGCAGATGCATCTCTGGCCACATTAGAAGAAGGCCTCGTCAGCTGAGTGCACAGCACAACAAACTCCAGTTGTATACAGATGATTTTCTTGAACCAAACAACATAAATGAGGTTTTGAAGTCTGAACCCAAGCTGAGGTACTAAACGTCTGTTGCAATCTCCAGCTGTACGACTGACAAAAACATTTCTTTTTACAGGACTGTCAGTTTGCTGCACATGAAATCAAGCCAGACTTGCTAACAAAGGATCTCTTAGGACATATTCTGACACCATGGATGTACTAGAATAGATGCCAGCTGAATTAAAATGCAAAGGAAAGCTCTAGATACAAGACAATAAGTGGAGAAGGTCAGCAATGTTCAACAAGCCGCTGTCATGCAAACACACGTGTGATCAGTGTGTCGTTGCTGAAGTGTGACACACACACTCTGCTACGTCATGGGAAAGCTGCAACACGAGAGGAGACACACAAAACAAAGCTCCCCTTCCAGCTGGAGGACATCATCTCAAAGGATGTCTGAGGCAACCCAACTTTTAGAGGAAAGCCTCTCAGGTTTTTGGGATACTCGTGCAGAAGCACCTGTGGAACAAAAGAGACTAATTGGCAGTCAGAGGCCTTCGTACCTGAGCTCTCTCATGCTCAACCTGCCAGTGTCTGAGTCAGAGTGAGCGCCGTCGTGCCTTTCATGTCAAGGAAGTCACATGAGGCATGGCCAGAGGGACCCTGGTGCTGTGACACGGGGAGCCGTGATTGGCTACAGCGTGCTGAAAACCTGCTTCCTCATTGGCTGACGTTTGCCTCCAGGTGCTTTTGTCACACTTGGTTAGTTTTTGATGAAATGCCCCGTTCCTTTGATCTGAAGTGAAAGTAGACACACACACACACACACACACACACACACACACACACACACACACACACACACACACACACACACTCCTTTTCTACTACTTGCCCTGGGAATCATCAGAAAGCTTCTCTATCCTCTATGACTGTGTGTGTGTTTTGTCAATATGCAGCTTTTATGTGCACGGTGACATTTATACCATCAATTAAAAAAAAAGAAAAGACTGAGGGCTCTGAGAATGTCTGTGCAGTATATGTGTGACCCGGACATATAAGAATGTGCCCTCTCCGCTGTACTCAAACACAAACACTCAGCTCCACACAAACATATCTGACAAAATTTGCACTGCTAATCTCCTCGAGCAGCTCAAAGAGCCGCGCTCTCCAGACTCAGAGTAAATATGGAGTCAAGGTACCAGACGTTATTCATTTCCTATCAAACCGGAGGCCTCCTAATTGTTTGTCTCGCATTATCTCAGATCTCTAGTATTGAAAAGCAGGGAGTGAGCGTGATACAGTTGTGTGAGGTGAAGAGCTCCAACACAAAGACCTTTTCTCCACTAACCAAACTTTACGCTCATATAGGCACCGCCTATCAAGCACCTACTGCAAATATGACCTGTGTTTAATATGCTAGCCAGCATACGCAAGTGTGTGTGTGCATGTGTGGTAAGAAACAGAGCTTCCACGCTGCCCAGCCCAGAGTTCTGGTTGAGGCCAACTCTTTAGAGAAAGCCCTAATGTTCTGAGCTTTGCCACAACTTGAAGGCAGGGGTGAGGATAAGGGGAAAGACAGAGGGAGATGGAGGGTGGAGGTGTGGAGTAGAAAAAGAAAGCTAGATAAGGAGGCGGTGGTGCGGGTGAGAGGCAGGATTCGTGCTCGCTGTGGCCATGAGATGAGGAGTCTTTATCAGGCACAGAGGCAGCTTCACAGGCCCCTCAGTGCAGAATGGAGATTGAGAGGTCTGGGGCTCACACACACACACACACACACACACACACACACACACACACACACACACACACACACACCAACAAAGATAAACTTCAATAGCGACCAGACTAACACAACCCCACACACCTTTCCTCAGCCTGCCTCCATCCCTCTCCCGTCTCTTTTTTTTGGTGCAGATCAAATGTATGGAACTATCTTAGCGTCTGATCTCATCTCCTCTGATTTTCTGTTTCTCATTATTTCATTCCAAAAGCTTCGACTGTCTACTCCCAAAACATCCACCCATCCCCCTGTATCCGTCTCTCTCCTCCTCTGTCTCTGCCTTAAACGCATGCGTCTTTGATGAGAATCCATTCATGGATTTAATGGATTTCTCTGGCCTTTTTTCCAGGATCTGGGAGATGTGTTCAAAAAAAAAAAAGCAGAAAGCTGGCCTGCCCAGGCTCTGCTTCCAAGAGCGTGGTGGACTGCAGAGGACAGCATTTCTGTCTGCATCAAAAGAATGAGAAATTTTCAGCTTACAAAACAGGGCGAACGAGTCAATATGGATCTGAGGCCTGGCTGACTTCAATCCCATGTGATAGCAGAAAAAAAAGGCAGCGATGAAGTAGTGAAAGTTTTCCTGCCCACTCCCAAGTCAAACTTGGAGACAGATTAAAAAGTAAAAAAAAAAATGGGGGAGAAACTAAGACGTTCAACCTTTGGTGAGTTTTTTTTTTTTTTTTTTGAAGCGTGCACTTTCAGCTGACAAAAAGGACGGAGGAATCATTCATCTCTTTCATAAAAAGTGAAACTAGCACATTGCTGATAGTGTTATCAGTCTGAGTTCAACACTGCTTTGAATCCACTCCAGATTGCCCGACAACTGTGAGTCAGTTTTTTCTTCTGTGTACAAAAAACGAAGAGGGAGAGGAATTAAAGTGTGCCGAACAGATAAAATAACTTTTAGCTGCAAAATGGCCTTCACATGTCTAAACAGGGAAAAGGGGCTGATAGCAAATAGCGTGATTTCTTCAAATGAGGATTAGCCTGTAATAAGCACGCTCCTTTTCTCGGATCTCTCTCACTTCAGTACCCTTGGTTCTGTGTGCCATATGGAGCCAAAATGGCCGCCTGGGTGCTTTGGAGGTCCCTGCATTCCGGGGCTAATGCTGTGCAGCTGGCGTGGGATGGTGTCTAATGAAAAATGCTCTCTTTGATGGGCCCTGCTGAGGGATTAGGTTCTGATCAACACCACCTTAGGTCAGCTTCCTGCTAGACCAGCACAAGATTACGGGCGATTTCCCGGCCGTGGGTCCAGTTTCTGAGGTGGCGAGAGGAGCGAGTGTGACACAGAAAGAAACACTGAACATGCTAAATCTCTGAAGATGAAACTGAAGTACTTCCTGGTTTGCCAAGATTGCAAAAAAGCAAAGCTGGATAAAGGCTCTAATGAACAGCTGTGATTCCAATCTGACCCTGAAGTCCAGTTCCTCAGCTCGTGTGTACATTTCAAAACATCTCATGATGGTAAGTGGGGACTTTTTCAGCAGTGGTGCAGTTTGTGGGTGAGCAGACATTGGTACAGGTGTAGCTCCAGCTGGTGGGATGTGCCATCATTAGGATGTAGTGATCTGTACAACTCTGCTGCTGCTTCTCTCTCTGTATGCACACAACACACACTATCTTCCCTCAGTATGGAAAAAAAGTCCTTTGGCAATGGTGCATCCAAACGTTTATAAAAACTTGATTTTGGCAGTCGAGATCTTGCCAGAACAACATAACAAATCAAGTCTAGTAGATGTCACAGCATCAGACTCAGTCTGTAAGTGTTTACTCCCATGTGCTGCCCTGCTGCTTTTCATTCCCAGCCTGTCTGATGGAGCTGCTTCATGCCACCCGTCCTGACTCCAGGTACAGTTTTCCAGCATACTCACTCCTCTACCGACATCTAAATACGACCACTTAGCCATATGCTCCTCCAAACTCTGCTTTTTTTTCAGCAGTGATGTTCTGTTGCTCTTATCGATTTTCCCGGTGAACTATAAACCTTTTTTTCACTTCTGGAGGAATGCATTTTCCCCACTTCTGACTGCAAGAACTCTTTACAAACAACAAAACCAATTAAGTTTGAAGCTGTGTGTGTGTCTGACTTTAAAGGGATGGTAGAAAGAGCCTGGAAACTGGGGAAGCAGGAGTGTGAGCGACTTGCAGAAGACTTCCAGCTCTGGACATTAGTGGCTGAAAACATCCAGCATGTCTCATCTGCTCACCGTACATTTACCTTCTCGTGAGCAGCATCCTTCTCCTGCTGGTGGCTCCTCTCGAGGTCGATGCGGATTCGTTCCATGTCGGAGCGGAGCCGGTCCAGAGACGCCTCCTTGTCCAGGATCGCTCTCTCTTCTTTCTCCTCCTGGAGCAGCGCCATCTCAGCCAGCTGCTGCTTATGCTGGACACGGGCCTGCTGGAGTTCCTCACGCAGACCTGACAACTGGACTTCCAAATCTGAAATAGTCTGGACAGAGACACAGAGATGTGCAGTGGGTTTAGGTAAAGCGACGCCCTCGATGCGGTCTGCAACGACGGACTAATGTCAAACGATGAAGAGGACTTTTCAGAACATCTTTATGTAACGTAGCCTGTGTGCTGCTTTAAGGAAAGAGCTGAGCTGACAGAGATGATGAGATGCAGCATCTCGGTGTGAACAAGCATCTATACGGTTTGTAGTAAAGTTTCACAGACATGCTTAAATGTTTCTGTTCTCCTCTGTGTAATGTGGGTGGGGGCTGCTGAGATGGCCTGACCCCTCTCCTGACCTCTTTCTTTTTGAACTGCTCAGCCTTGACTTTGCTAAGAAGCTCCCTTTAATAGTGCTGCCAGTGAGAGTCAACATTACATAGTAGGAATGCTAATAAGTACAACCCCACGGCCCCCGGATCACCAGAAATAGACCGGTCTGACACGTGCTACGAAGCTGCAGCGCCAGATTTCACATCAGCCTACTGCTCTGTCCATCACATAGTGGGAGTGATGAAGGAAGCCAGGAAGTGGACCGAACAGTGAAAGGACAGAACTCTTGCTGCGCATTCTGAACATCTGAGACACGTGCATCTATAACAGGACACGGGCTCTTCACACATAACACCCAATGTCTAGAGGCATGTTTGTTTTTATTTTACAAATTACAAGCAGGAACAAAACTGTGCAGTGAGGTGCAGGTGGCTCTAAGATGCACTGCAGTGTTTCACACTTGCCTACCTGTATTGCACGTATTCCCCAGCTATTGCACATCCTCATTACTCTCCTTGGTTTACTTAGTTTTCCTTCCCATGGTGTGCACTGTGCCTCCTGCCCCCTCCCTCTCCCCAGAAGCCTGGGCATCCCAGGACAACCCCATGTTAAGGCAATCAGACAGAAAGTGTCTGAAGTCTTTTTTAGCGGGCACTGGGGAGAATCAAAGAGACTTCAAAGGAGTGTCACAAAAACAGGCAGATGCTGTGGCTCTGTGTTAGACTCCCTCCTACACTGGCACACAGACTGATCCAGTTGTGCACACATGCACACACAGACAGCCACACATGGTCTGGCTATCGCACACGCACAGCGGCGTGCAGCACATTCACACGGACTGCGAGGTAAAAAAACAAACACATGCCATCATCCGTGTCCCGCTGCCCTGTCTCTCAACATTACCACATTCGCCGCTCCGTTTGCGCCTTCAAGGGCGAGCAGCTATTAGATCTGAGCCCTCCACAGCCTTTAATGTATAATTCTCACTTTAACAAATGTGGATGATCTGTCTCCCAAAAAATCTTTTAATAAGAGAGAGTGTAATCTAGCGGAACAGAGTCATTGGCAGTGACACTTGAGAAACTTAGGAGGCCAAAAGAGCGTGTTTCCTCTGGAGGAAGTGAGCAGGGCACATGTCAGCATGCTGATGTGCAGCTCTGAGAAGAAGCAGCTCTTGGTAACAATAGATTCAGTGTTGGGTCAGATGGTGCTGGCTAAGATGACAAACGACTGGCAGGACAATAGAAAAGTAAGTGGTAGAGAAATGAATCAGGAGAAAATGTCGCAAAGTCAGGAGACGATGGGCTCTGAGACTTTATTACCTGCTGCTCTAATTAAGATCCTGAAACACTGCAGGAGGCAGAATTTAAAAGCACCACAAGTCATGACTTTAACTCTAAAATGCTGCTTGTTGCTGGTTCGACCGGCGACTTTCCTGATAACTTCTGAACTCAGTGCTACTGTCCTGCTGCAAGCAACATACAAAGAAACTGAGTTCTGCTTCACTTTTTGATAGAGACACATAATTAACGGGACACATAATAATTGATGCCTGCTTCGGATTAACATTATTTTACAAAACATAAAACTAAACGATGAGGGGAAATCAGCTCTGTTTATCTGTAACATTAACCAAGTCTCAGCAGATTATTCTAATTAGTCTACTAGTATGCTAATGAGGGGACGTGTTGGAAGATTAATGTTAGATATCAAATATGCAATAAGACGGTAACATGTGACCAGATGGAGAGATTTGGTGGCTCAAATATGGATTCCATGAAGAAACAGAGTGCAACAGGAAAACAAGCTTTTGTCTCACAGTGGATATGAAGCAAACACACATTTATAATCACTGTGTTCTCCTGGTCAGGACTGGAGCCTGATACCGAGCAGAAAAGAGTCAGAATTAATCTATTCAATTAACTAATTAACACTAATTAGACCTGTGTGAGGTGTGTAGTTTATCACAGCAGGCAGAAACGTGGATTTCATGTATTTATTATGTGGACGACAGCAGCAACAACCTTCAATCGCTTTTTAAAATATATCTTCTATGTATCTCTGCTCACGCTTTTCATTTTGTTATTTTTTGTATTGAATCCTATTTTATTCACTTTTTTGAAGTTTTTCATGATGGTGTGGATTTGTTTTTGCTTGTCAACATTATGTCTAAAGACGCTGTAATGCTTTAAGATGATCTCAGACACAATCAGCACAGCATTCACATCTAAAACTAAACCAGGGTTTGTGCATGTAAAGCACATTTTAAAAAGGTAACCGTTAACTGGACGCTAACAGCTGTTGGTCCGGCAGCGCTGATAGACGCCGACGAGCCAAAACAACACGACAGCACACGTGCTGCTGCTCCATCACGTGCCACGGCTTCAGACTCTACAGGACTTCTGAAAGTGTCCGCTGCTATCTGGCACCAAGATGTTGGCAGCAGATCCTTCACTGCTCAGGCCAGTGTTATACTTTCTGCATCTGCGAGTACACAAAGGCTCAGAGTGATGTAAAGTACGTCCAAGTCTGCAAGCAGGGACCCCTGAGTCCACATGCAGGCAGTCTGTGTTCAGATGCACCACAAGGGCAGCAGTGTGCACGCATGAAGCATGGCGACGGCCAGCACATTTATGACATTTCTCCTCCAAGTGGATGAAGGAAGAGTTTATTAACAACAATATGTGCACTGTGTACACATCTGCAAGGAAGTCTGACAAAGGCTGGACTGAACCAAAACAAAAGCTCGTCATGTTCTATTAAATTCAATCGATTGTTTTTAACAAAGACCGATAAGAAGGTGTTGCTCCAGCACACGGCATCTCCACAACAGAAGGAATGTCCCGACACGACCGAGTCCGCACTATAGCTGAAACAACGGAGGTCAGAAATCACAAGGAGGACACGTCTGTCCAGATGATCTGTCTGAGACGATGTCAACACCTTTGTCTTGTCATCTATGGCATGGTGAGTAAAACTGCATTCTGTAGAGTGGGTGGTTAAAGGAGAGTCAGTGTTCTGGCCACGCTGTCTGATCAGTCTGTTAAAGCCACACCAGGATCCACTCAGCGCTTCAACAGCTCAACAACTATTAGTGCACACATTTCTAAATGTGACCCTTTTCTAATTGGAAAAATAGAGATGAGCTTTTACCACCTGCATACGGTGCAGCGCCCTGAACCAGCCATACAGCTGTCACCATTATCAAAGCCACTTTAACTACAAGAACTGACTGAAGCGTCACACATGCACCTGGTACAAATGTCATGTGTGTTGTATTGTAATGAACATCCTCTACATATAGTACGCTACTAGTTTCCTGCTGCGTGCTGCTTTCTTGCTCAGATTTGTTTATTATATTTTTTGTATTCTATCTTTTATTACTTTTGTAGAGTGTCATCGGGTGTTTTCACCCGACTCCAAGAGACAAGAGCACAAGAAACCCAATGTGCTCAGACTGTCTGTCTTGAATCCTTGAATCCTACAAGATCATCAACGTTGTTCTCTACAATGGTCAGAATTTTTTGCCATCAGCATACGAGGAAAGGAAACGCCCACATGGGCTGCAGGTGGATCAGTGGTTAGCACCGTGGCCTCACAGCTAGAAGGTCGCCGGTTCACGTCCCGGTGAGGACACCCGGGATCTTCCTGCGTGGAGTCTCCATGTTCTCCCCGTGCAGCGTGGGTTCTCTCCGGGTTCTCCGGCTTCCTCCCACAGTCCACAAACATGTTGAGGTTAATTGGTGATTGTAAATTGTCCGTAGGTGTGAATGTGAGTGTGCTTGGTTGTCTGTCTCTAAGTGTAGCCCTGTGATAGACTGGTTACCTGTCCAGGTGAACCTGCCTTCACCCTGAGTCAGCTGGGATAGGCTCCGCCCCCCATGACCCTGGTGAGGATGAAGGTGTAGAGATGATGGATGGATGGAAACGCCTACATGTCCACGAGGTACATGGTGTAAATTTCATCATCTGCCCAAGTTCAAAACAAACAAATGGTGCCTTAAACACCGGCTTGAGCACTGTTTGAAGAAAGACTGTCCAAAGAGATCTGTCGTCATTCACGTTTCATAATTCGTCTTTAAAGGAGCTATGATTCAAGCAGATGGACGTGGGAGGTCCTCTGAGTTGCAGCTACATGCTTTGTGGGCCTGATGGCAGTGGAGAGATTCTCCAGGAATCCTGCGCTGTGTCCACCCTCTGTGGGAACAATACAGTGACACGGTGCTACAGCCCAAACAGCTGTATCAGCCACAGCCAGCCTTAGAGAAACATCCACCAGAGCCCCGTGTGGTGTTCTGTGTTCAGCATGAAGGCCAAGGTGACCGAATGCAGAGCCGCTTTAAAGTCCAGATTGGTCAGCACACAGGATGTAAAAACCATGTGACTCTAACCGTATTTATATATTTAATGCAAACGCTATAAATAAAACAATAACCTGACAGTTTATCCCTCTATAGAAATATAAAGCATTAGTGTTTGAATAAAAGATACAGCAAACATATGCATTAATGTGTGATAGCTGACTTATCCCAGCAAAGAACATGCATGTTAGACTGTCATAATAAATGATTCGCTGGTGACAGCCGATAAAAACGTATCTGAGCGAAATCCAAGATGTGATGTATGCACATACTGAATGGCTCCATGGTTTGAAAGGGAGCGCGTTGGAAGACTCGACACATCAGAGAGCATCAGCATTCACTGATGACTTCAGCCGTGATCAATAGTTCCCCAGTGGAAAAACACAAGAACAGCTGAGTTCTAACACAGACACTCAGCTGTACTTGGCAATATGTGATGAAATCGTTTAAAGAATCACAAACACAGTGACATGCCAGCTCAGAGGGACACTCATTTGCAATCACTGAGTAACAAAACAAGACTCACTCGACAACACTGGGGGACAAATCAATCGGTGAGTGACGACGCACGAGCACCGAGACAATCGACGCACACCCTGGTCGAGCTGTCTGTTCTCTTCATCCCAGCTTTGACGTAGTCTGTCATCACCCTCTTCATCGGACTCATTTTAATCACGTACTTGGGATTGAAACGCTTTGAAAAATTGACAGCATCATTATTTAGTCCATCACGGCCCAGAAGAAAGACCTCACAAGCCTCCCGCTCTCTCCCATGCTGTTTGAAGTCCAGATGGTGTGTACGTTCCTTAAGAAAAGACATAATTATTCAGAAAATAATACCCATAAAATGAGTTTCGAGGAGGAGCTCGTGGAAGAAATACGAACGATGGGTTTTGCATAGAACAAACAATTTTGATGTTTGCAAAAACAAGGCTTCAAATTAATTTATAATGCTGGTCCTAGTTTTTGAAGTCAAACTCTTACTAATGTTTAACAATTAAAACGCCTCACAGACACACAATTGAGCCGACTAGGAACAATAGCACACACAAAAACATTTTACATTGTTTGGCCCCACAATACAATGGATCTTTATTTTGTTTAAAAATGCTGTTTGGGAAGATAAGGCAGGTTTATTGTGCAGCGGCGACTTCACAGCGACTTCCAGGAATGTGGAAAATCTCTAAGCGGAGAATTGGCTTTGATTTCTGGTGACTTTAGTGACTCAGAGTGAAGCACGGTTTTCCTTTACAGTGTTAAATATAGTTTCGCCGCTCCGCGGGTGGATGTGCTCGCACCATACGTTTTTGGAGTGTTGTCTCCAGCAGCTAAGCGAGAAAAGGCCACGAGATCAGGATTTTTGGCATGTGAGAGGGTCTGCTGGTGAGGATCCCCAAAACAGTCTACAAAACTACTTTGTCCTCTGGGGGGCATTGATCAGCTAACAGAACAACACAGAGCTGGCTGCGGGCAACATGCTTCACTGGCAAGACATTTCATCATCTTGGAGAGACAAGCAACTGAAAGCTTCCTTTCACTGTCTTTTCTTGTTTTGTTTTTTTTTTTGGTATTTTTAAAAAACGGTGAAGAAATCGTTCTTTCAGGAGAACAGCAGCATCCAGGTCCACAAGGCTTGGAACTGTCAGTTAATCCCCTGCGCTGGTGAGATGCCAGCTGCACAGCAGGCCTTAAACCCTCATGCTTTTTTTCTCATTCTGTCGCTTGAGATGTTGTAACATTTAGGCTACAAGCAGCAAAGGGGAAGATGAGTTCACATGCATGTGATTAGAAATGCAAGAAGGCAGCAGACGGGCGACGCTGCCTTTAAAATGTGGTGGTGGAGCTTCTGGGGCGACAGACTCAGGTGGGACGAGGACAATGTGTCCCTGTGTGAGGTTTCAGCTCTTCCCTCCACCCACCGCTACGACTCATTGGCTCTCCTTCTCAAACACAAGCCAAGAGCCAGGAATGCTATTTATTAGTGTCCCGCCACATCAAGGGGATGAGTGGGTATTACTCATCCCCAGAGTGTGTGACTGACATTAGCTGTTCCCTTTCCTCGCCAACTTTCTGGCTGCAACTGTCCTTCCAGTGATTCAGGGAAGACTGAGAGAAAGTGAGATGGAGGGAAGCTGAAAGAAACGAGGCCTGGGCTCAAACGGCACAGCAGGCATTCGGCCCGTCACTTGCTTTGGCTTGTTGATAATACCTGTGTCCGACTGACCCACGTGGTGGAGCCCTCTGATCGGCCCGTACAGCGTCACACTCTCACCACAGACATGATAAAAGCATGTGGTGGAAGGAAGCTCCTTTTCTTTCTGTGTGAATCCACTTAAATGTTCCAACTTTCACAGCACAGTTCTATCTGCTTGAAAGGCTGCATGTGAAGCGCCACATTAGCAGAGTGGCAGATGCAGAGTTCCCAGGGGGCAACGCAAAAGGCTTTAACAATAAGTGGCTTTGCCCATTGTGTGAAAAAGCTCATTTTTAATACACATCTGCTGCTGCTGCTGCTGCTGCGTCTGCTTCTTGTTCTTTCAACAACACATCCACGAATGTGTCCTCACACAGGAAGTCGAAGCAGCTCACAGCTCCACCAAACCCACAGCCGTGTGCTCCATCTTTCCAAGGCCTGAGTGAAAACCTTGATTTTTCCTGCTTTAATATGTGACATTAGGCAGCCATCTGATCTCCAACTTAAAATACCGCTCGGGCAAACAGGAACTGAGAATACGAAATGAAGACTGGGGAAGTTTGTTTTCTGTCACCTCCTGAGAATCTGAGGTTTGTCAAACCAGACGTCATTTTGACATGAGCAGGGCGGCGTGTTATTAGCAGAAATATCCTGTGGTGACGGCATCTCCAGACAACCAAATCACACACTAGCGGGTGCCATCTGTGTTGTGAAAGACATTCCCCAAAATATTAGAAAAGGCATGAAGACGATTTTCCCCGACGTTATTAAGTTTTGAGCTTTAGGACATTTTAGAAGAGTGTAACTCATAAACTAATATAGTAACGCTGGCAAGGCACCGTGAGACGACCTCCAGCGTTCTCCATGAGTGGAAAAGCAGCGAGAAAATGAGAGAATATTCTGACATTTCAGCTAGCAACAGGGGGCTATTTTCAACCTCAGTTAAAGCGTCCCATATAGTTTTATTGTTAGAAACTAGACTGGATGTAAACGGTAACAAAAAAAAATTCACGCGAGACAAAATAATGCAAACTGAAAAACTGTGTTTTCTCTGAAGTCATTACATATCGTTGCATTTTGCGAGTAAAAGAGGCTTTTACATAAATAAATGCCACTACTAACTTATTACGCTGGGCGATGACAAAATAAAACAGGAAACAGTCGACGATAAGTGTGATTTCTTTGCTATTTATTCTCGCCTGCACCACCTGTGCCCACACGTAGTCGGGACATTTTGTCCACAAAAACAAAGTACGTCTCGCTGGATTTCTATCTTCAGCCAGTAAAGTAAATTCGTTGCACACTGACAATATTCATGTCATTAGGAAGCCTAAAGAGTCAAACACAACCCCAGCTGGGGGCTGGTTTGTCCAACTGCTTCCCACAGAGCACCAATACAGCCCAGGCTGGGGGCAAAGCCAGAGCGCGAGGGGTGTGAGATGAAGACCTGGCTACGTGGTGGCAGAACGGTCCCTCGGTGTCAGGGATATGAATTAATACAGACCCAAATGTCATACACTCATTGTGGCCAGCCAAGCCGGAGTAAGCGAACGACCAGCGTTTTCCGCGGGGAGATAGCTACCTGTGGTGAGAAGAGAAAGCACCAGCGAAAATACACTTCGCTGGGTTTACTGGATGCTTGGCAGGGCGTCCACAACTGTACAGCGGAATAAAAAGCACCAATTCAATGGAATAAAAGGCTGGCGCTCAACACACTGATTTCTTCGCCTTCAGTTTCTAAACATGATTTCTTTCTACTTCTATCACAAAACCCTGCGGCGATGAAAAATTATTTAAAAGACGTGAGAACAGCATCAGAAGCAGGGACAGTGCGATATTTAGGGTTTGTTTACTCCATTTATTTTTTTTTTTACTTTTCTTTAGCGCGCACATCTTTCCAAATGTTTTTTTCCCCAAATAGCAGAATCTAAAATGTTCTGTGTTGTCGCATTGAATGTACAACAATCTCTAAAATTATTCACATTCAATGTCAGTATCTGTCTGGCTTCAAGTAGAAAAGTGTCTTAAACCCGCTGTGCTTTTGAAACACCAGGAAAACGTCAATGGGCAAAATACAAAATGGTTGTCCACAGGAGAGCGATGGGTCAGCATGTGGGTGTGCGGACGTGGATCAGTGGAGACCCCCTACCTGGGCATCGCGCTTCCTCCACTCCTGGGTGTGCTGCTGGTGCTGGTGCAGGGCGGCCCTGGCCTGCCTCTCCAGGCTGCTCGCCTCCCGCTGGCGCTCCTGGACCAGGCTGTCCTTTTCCGCGCTGTGCTGCTGCTGTAGCCGCGTCCTCTCCTGCTCATGCTGCATGCGCTGCTCAGCCATCTGATTGGACAAGCAGGCAAAGAGAGACTTCATCAGCCAACACACACTCAGAGCAACCCTGTCGTCATGACAACTTGTCCATCCACCTATCCATCCATCCTTTCTTCGTCCTATTCCGTCCAGCCTTTCCCTCCACCCAGGACACCCAGGAGCACAACCGATTTGAAATTGGTAGGAAGGTGGGGGGGGGGCAAAGCGAGAAAAGTTTCTCCGCTTCCTCACGTCGTCAGAGGACGACATGATGCGATGTGTTTACATCTGGCTCGCTCCCCCGCCCTCCCACCGCCGCTGCCAACGGTACAGACCAGCCTCCATGTCCCACTCCTCTCTCTTCAGATCTGTCCCCCTCGCCCTGGTCTGGATCGGCGTATAAAAGAGCAGCTAGTCTGGGCTATGCATGTGGGCTGGTAGGGGTTAGCCATCTGGCTGCAGTGACTACCCAATGCCCCATGCTATGCGCCTGACAGCATGTGAAAATCGGCTTAGACGATGACGATGATGATCATTATAAACCCGAATCAGAAAAAAGACTGGAGAGGGAGGCAAAGAGAGCACCTTTGTGAAGAACTGAGGAGATGCTAAAAGATTCTCGATGCTGCTTTAACTTGTAATTGCAGTCGCTGTGTTAATTTAACCAGTTTAACAACCATTTATTACTCAGTGCCGGTTCTCGTGCTATCAAGACCAATACGGCTGCGGTTCGGGTTTATGCTGCTAATGAGCGATATCTGGAGTCCAAGTGCAGCAGGGACCTGTAAGCACCAATCAACATGAAGGCTTGGTTGAAAAACAAACACACCGGAGACTTCAGTCCCACTAGACCCACAACCAGCTCCACACAGGACAGTAGAGAAAAATAAAACACTTCTAATGGGGCGCAAAGCCCCAATTTTTCAGGGCTTAATCATCCTGTCAGCTGAAGCAAGTCTGTGTTCCAGCCCGGCTGTAAGAGGAGTCACCTGCTGAGAGGTGAGCCTTGCCAGTGAAGCTCCCAGCCCCGAGCCCCCAAGCCTTTCCCAGGCTCTGTTCCGTTCCCACTCCCCCATGGCGGGGGGACAAGTGACCCCCACACCATCCCACCGTGCAGGCCCAGCCGGAGCCTTGAAAGGACAGCAGGGGCCTGGGGCCCATTTGCCTCCCTGCTTTGAAGCTAATCCCCTGCACATTGTGCATGACGGCACCCTACCTGGCCTGCCAGAGAAGTGGAGATCAACAGCCTCTGTGCCTGGTGCCTGCTCTGTCCATGGCCCTATCTTCCAATGCTGCGTGCTATTCAGAGCAGGTGATGAATGAGGGGCTATCTACAGGAAGCCGGATTCCTTCCCCGGCACTGAGAGGAAGGCCACAATAGACACTTCATTTTGGCAGCCACGAATTTACTCTTCAGCTTTAGGGAGAGCTTTGCTAAATGCCCTCAAAAAAGGTCAGTGGAAGGATGTCAGCTGGATGAAAATGTATTCATCTCTGAGGCTCAGTAGTTGGCATAACATACAGTAAAATAACGCACACACATGCCAGTGTTTAAAACAGAACCACAAACAGTTTGTAGAATACGGCCAGTAGCCTCCACGTGCTGCCACCGCTGATGCTGATGGTGTCTGAAGAAAACTCCACATCAGACAAATTAGCACCGTCTTCACCGCCTTTTCCATTCAAGCACACAATAGATACCAACAGATCCACAGCCAGAATACGTTGTCCCACAGTCAGATTCATACAGCGCTACAAGCTACAGCAGCCACTTTCTCCAAGAACTCCCGAGCTGGACCGCAGGACAGGCGGCAACAGAAACTGGGGGAGGATCTCCTGGCTGACTCTCCGCTCCCGTTTAGAGTCTCGAGCCACGGGGGTTTGGGAGGAAAGAGGGGATCTGAGGTGAAACGAGGATAAAGAAATGGGCAAGACGGATCTGTTGTGAGAAAAACAGAAAAAGAAAAGCACGGAGAGGAGAGGACAGAGAGCAGACCCAGCAAGGAGCCTGGCTGTGACATCACGTAGCGCCAGTGTGCAGTGGAGGATGCTGGGTGCTGCCGCTCTTAAAGGGACCGGCGTGGGGCTTGTGAGGGAAGACTGAGTCGGCTACAGCACAGCTTGGTGCCACAGATACAGAGCGGGTCGGGTGTTACTGCACAGCACGACTCCTGTCAGCCCGGCCCGACATGGTTGTGTGTGCCCATTGCACGTATTGAGGCTGGACAGTGAGGTAATGGGCTTCTTTCAACCGCAGGGGGGATATCTGAAATGTTTGGGGAGGCGGAGGGCGTAGAGGAGGGTAGAACAGAGGGCCTGTCTGGTCTCAGCAGGGGAGTTTGGGCTGCATGTGAGAGGGGAGAGATGGAAAAAAGACACCTTTTAACTCACTGTAGGGTTTGAAACGGCCACTGAGTACAGAGACGAGCACATTCTCACTCACTGGCACGCCTGTAAACTCCTTTATTATTTATCGTCCCACGTTAACAACTGAAGCTGTTTCCGTTACCTGTCAAGCTCGTAACTCCAAGCCTGCTGTCTGACCTCGCTATGTCTGTCAAAGAGGCAGAGACCCGTCAGGAGCCGTGACGTCCGGCTGCCTAAAGGGTCAGCTAGCAAACAGCTCCTCCGTGTAGCTCCCCATGTACAGTCTCGCTGAAGGCGGCCTTGAGCGAACGTTCTTGTGGGAGCGTCGCCTTGCAATCCTGTGACAGCGATCTCAGTGGAAACGCGGTGCACACATGCATGCAGGCACACACCTAGCAGCTAATTTATGAAGAAAAACACAATGCACATGCAACATTAAACGACTATGCTCATGAATAATCACTCTTCTTCACGTGCACACGGATACCAGTTCCTCCTCTTTACATGCTTCTTGCCGTGCAGCTAATGTCACCAGCTCTCACATCAACATCATCCCAAAGACAGGTCCATTGTCTTGGTGTGTTTTTATCTTTAAGACAAAAGCCTCCCTGATACGCTGCTAACCCTATGCGGTTGCCTTCAACTGTCAAGTGCACTCCTACTCAGTGCAGCAGCAGATGATCACTTGAATATTTTCTGCAAATCTTTGATCGCTTACCTGTTCCTCACATGACAACACGCTGTAGCAGCCACTCAAAACACTGATAAATCTCCCATTTACTGGATCATTACACGGGGATGAAAATGTCTTTTGGATATAAATACAAGCTGTTTAACAGTTTAACTGGCATGGTCAGGTTTCTATGACAATACACCCTCGCAGTGGGAAGTGAAGCACCTTATTTCCAACCCCCTTCCTCGGTTTTGCCTTTTGGTGGATCAACATCCCAAAACAGTGAATCCATCCCTTTAAAGGCATTTTAAAATATGCTGTTTTTTCCCCATAAATATAATGACAAGTATTCAACCATGGAGCAGATCAATAACGGAGAACAGTTTCTCCGTTCCTTGGAAATAACAGCGGCCTCATATCCTCCACTTAGGACGATCTACAGCGAATTACACGCAGCATAAACTCCATCTGGCCTGGAAATGAGTGTTAGCATGCTTATTAACACACAGGTTGGTGCTGCGTTGGCGCCTGGAAAGCAATCACGTCGTGGATACAGATGTGAAATAGAGATGTTACAGCAGTTAGTCCTGAGCAGGCTGATGTGGAGCCATATGGTCACTGTGTGCATACCAACATGCAGCCATCATTCAGCAGACAGCAGCATGTCAGTGCATTCATAACACTATGCAGGGCTGCAGAACACCCCTAACATAACACTCTTATTCCTTTTCCAGGTGTCTGGCACACAATTACTGTCATAGCTGGTAGAGCTATTTCTAAACCTCATCATGTCTCTAATATACCAATCATACATTCAATCATTTGTTAAAGTAGGAGGAAAATCAGCTACAGTCCCCGTCTCCCCCCCGTCCCCATCAGCTGCCTCCAATAACATCCATTTCTGTGGCTTAATTGAATCTGGTGTCTCTCTATCAGTGAGCTAGATTTCAATGAGTTGTGAAAATGGTTTCTTGACTCTTAATTGAAGACGGGTGACACAGATGGGATGATAAGGGGACGATGCATCTTCTATGCAGATTGCATTACTTTTCAATTGGCAATGTTTAAGATATTTATTGAGCCGGAATCTGAGCTTAATCTAAAGCGTGTCCCTTATCATGAGAAATTAATCGGGCGGAACAGATGGGAAGGAATAACAACACTATTGCAAATGGATGTCAGACCCTTGGCTGGCTCCACCAGGCCGAGTGCTCGCTGATAGCAGAGGAAGATAACAATGTGAAGGCGATGATGATGATGATGATGGAGGCAAGAGATGAGTTCTTCCCCCTCGGCTACAATACGGAGGAACAAACACGCTGTAAACACAAAGCTACAGACCTGCTGCTCATATTTCTGTCTCAGTGCATCAAGTTGCTGCGAGAACTCTTTGGCCTGATTCTTCCGGAGGGATTTGGAGCGGATCAGGTCCTCCTCTACCTTCTCCATCTGGAGGTGTAAGAGAGTAAAAAAAAAGCAAAAATGAGAACTTATTTGGTATTAATTTAAGGCAGACGTTTGTGTAATTACATCCCACCCTAACTGGAGCATTTAAACAGACTGGACCAACGTTGTCCTTCAAAAAGCAGCAGAAATGAAACGTAGTAAAACATAATGCATCTGCATTGAGTTTCTGAAATGAATGAACTGCTAGTGAGAAGGAACGTATTCAACACGTTCATGTGATCTCATTGTAATGACGGAATAAATATTTCAACCTGTTCATCAAAGTGTAATGTGTAGAACTTGCATTCAGTGGACTTTACAGGAACAAAGTGCGCCTCAGACACTCAGAAATAAGAAAGTCATGGCATTGTGTCTCTGTGTGGACTGAGATTCAACAATATTTACGCTATTTATCCCGACTCAACTTCCTCGCAGCCCGCCGTTTTCACATTTTCTGCTCAGGTGATGATAATCAACAACAATTGGAAATGTAATTTGCTCAAACGCCTCTGTATGTGGGCGATGCTGTGTGTAACGCCACGGAACTGCCAAATGTGTTTTGATTAATCCATTTAAAATGCTGAAGCCTCCTTTGAACTATACACGCAACAGAGATTTGATTCCGTATGGTGCTTCTTCTCCTGCTTTCTCTTTTTTCTAACCAAAATAGGGCAGACTCCTTCCTTTAAGTGCAGTCTAAAAGTGGGATGCTGATTTTGAAATGAGAGACAGACAGACAGACAGACAGACAGAGGAAGGCAGTGATACAGATAATCCATTTAGATATAACACCATCCACAGACGGAGAGAGGGAGACGATGATGAGAGGAATGATGGAAGGATGAAAAAGAGAGTAAAAAAAAAAAGAAAGTTCTTTTGAAGTACTTTCTGCAACATTAAAGCCTTAGCGGGAGAACGTGATGCAGCGATGCACAAGCGAGCGGGGCGGGGAGGAGAAGAAGAGGAAAGGCGAGGAGGGAGAGAGGATGACAGGGATGCAGAAGAGACTGCTCCTCTCTCCCATGGCTTTGATGTGGGCTGAGGATAAAGTCAGATTGGAGATTGGGATGCCAAGGGCTCAATGGGAGAAGAAGGAGCGAGCAAGAGGATGGAAGGATGAGGAGCAGGAGGAGGGACACACACCAACACACACGTTCTCCAAGCACACAGGAAACAAGATGGAGCTCGCCACCAACACACACACACACACACACACACACACACATGCATAAACATAAACACACACACATGCATAAACACACATGCACACACATGCACACACACACCTACACACACACACACACATGCATAAACACACACACACACACACACACACACACACCTA